AAGATGGCGCTTTTGGGGTCATCAAGCAACGCCTTGACCTCCGCATAAAGTGTGCCATATTGCGTGAGCAATTCGCGCATATGCTGTGCGCCGCCACCTGATGCTGCTTGATAGGTTTGCGTACTCATCCATTCCACCAGGCCAGCCTTATACAAAGCCCCCACCCCCATCAACATACAACTGACCGTGCAGTTGCCACCGATCCAGTTGTTACCGCCCTTGGCCAGTGCATCCTTAATCACCGGCATATTCACGGGGTCAAGCACAATGACCGCATCGCCCTCCATGCGCAGGGTAGAGGCCGCATCTATCCAATGCCCTTGCCAGCCCGCTGCACGCAGTTTGGGAAAGACTTCACTGGTGTAGTCGCCGCCTTGTGCCGTGATGATGATTTGGCATTTGGCCAGCTCTTTGAGGTCGTGCGCATCTTTGAGGGTTTTCTCGTTCTTCGCCATAGTTGGCGCAGCAGCGCCGGGATTAGAGGTAGAAAAGAAAATAGGCTCAATAAGAGCAAAATCATTTTCCTCGCGCATACGGTCCATCAACACCGAACCAACCATACCGCGCCAGCCCACCAAACCAACCACATTACCTGAGAGCTTTACCACTTCAATTACCTACTTTTCAAAAAACATTACATATAAAGGATGATCATTTCGTTGATGACCGAGGGCTTATCCATACCCACCACGTGAATGTTGATCTCCATCACCAATTGCGTACCAGCTTTGACCTGCTCCACCGACTTCACACGGCTGCGCGCATGAATTTTGCTGCCTGAGGGCACAGGAGCCAAAAAGCGCAAGCTGCGCGAACCGTAGTTGACCATATTGTTAAAGTCCACCACTTCCCAGGTGGAAGGGATTTTCAACTTGGTAACGAACCATGCCGGAGTTCACCGATGAAATGCCGCAGCAGCTGGCTGTGGTGCAGTTGGCCGAGGGCCCGCATATCAATACCACTTTGGTGGGGGTAGAGCCGAAAGACATCAAGATTGGCATGAAGTTACGCCCCGTGTTTGATGAGCGGCCAGGTGCAGCCACCTTGCTGCGTTTTACCAGTGCAGATTCTGCCGTGCCCGCCGTGATCAAGGCTGACGCGCCCGAGCAAGCCTCTGCGCCGGATCCTGTGGTGCA